ATATATATTATATTAAATTATTATATTATATTATATTATACTATATATTATAATACACTGTTATAATAATTTTATTACTAATAAATTGATTATTAAACGTTAATGTTAAAAAAATCATACTTGTGCATAGTGATTCTATATATGTAATAATCACTTTACATTATCGTATTTCAAATAGTTGTCAGTCATTACGCATGAATATTTAGAGAGAAATACGTATTTTGAATATGTCCCGATATTCCGACAAGTTCAGATGGGTAGGCATTATGTCCCCGTGGTAATCAGTCGGGTATTGAATTGTAATTCGAAGAGATCAATTAGTAAATAATTACGAATAAATTCTGGGTCACGCGCGTATCTTATTTCCTTTTTATGAATATGTTGTATTAGTCACGAATGTTTTCAATAATGTCTTGCAACTGTTAAACATACTATACAAATCGATATAATATCAAATAATAATTATTTATAAATAACGATTTGTCAATCAATAATATGTGAAATGTTCAACAAAATTACTAAACAGTTGCTAAAATTAAACAAATATATTCTCTCTCTCTCTCTCTCTCTCTCTCTCTCTCTCTCTCTCTCTCTCTCTCTCTCTCTCTATCTTTCTGTCTCTCTCTTTTTAATTGAAGGACATAATGTATTTCAAATGTCATGATTATTTTCAACACATGAATTGATGGTGTAGAACAGAGTAATTTAAAATATGTGAATCTCTTAACACTGAACACTATTTTATGTCATCTTTAACTTAAAAAATAAAATTTTAGATAAAATGTATTTTAGAAGTCTGCTGTTCAATTGTACATACTTAACTTTGTTATAAAACTTATTTTTAATACGACAAATCTTATGAGATTGCTTACCTATGGAAACTATAATTATTTAAAATTATAAATGTAATATAATTCACAGAAGATTAATTTAATTTATAATAATCTGCCTATTTGATGTATTTATAATGTTTAAATATACAATTAGCATTAAATTGCTTGAGAGATTCCTGAGTATGCTTGATTAATTTAAAAATTTATAAACGTTATTTACAAAAATTTTACATTGTCGGTACTTTTAAATATATTTTTAATGATAGATTGCGGATTTGTTGCCGAAGGAGATTAATTTATTATAATTGAATAAAAATTAATAAATAAAAATTTAAGAACTTAAAAAAAACATTCAACCTTAATAATAAACAATACGTTAAACAACGGCGAAGTAAGAGTCAAATTATAATTAAAAATCTAATTAAATAACTCTGATAATTTAATCTAATATATATTGCGAAGAATATCACGTAATTTTTGGCGTTTCGTCCCGGCTTCCACTACTGAACTCATCAGTAAGGCATTGTAGTGGAAGTCTACCTTATACGTCTTGTAAATTATTAAATCGAGATTTTATATAAAGAGATATACGCGTGTCTCAGCACTTACGAGAATTTGTGGATATTGATAGACCTCTGATGGCGAGTCGACGTAGTAATATTCTTCGCGATATTTATCCAAGTAAGAAATAATGTTCTATTAATATATGTAGTCCCCCCAAATTGCGCGCTGAACAATTGTTGGTCTTGCAACGCAACTCTAATAATCTGAAATGTCCCCCTTCCCTAAATATTGCGCGCCGAAAGATTTCGGTCTTGCAACACAATTCTAATAATCTGAAATGTCCCCTCTCCCAAATATTGCGAAAAATTTCGGTATTGAAACGCAACTACAAATGCTGAATCTAGAAACCTTTATAAGATTGATCTTTTTATTTTATTAATTTAGAAGAAAGAAATTAGACTTATAATTAATGAAATTAATTGATATTTAATTCAGAATTTAATTTTTCTTCACACATGTTCACATTTTTCATATCAAACTACGAGAAAAAAATTTTGATATCAGACTGACGGTTTTTAATATTTTTGACATCGTCAGCAACAGTTGTTAATAGCCGTATCATTCGGGAGCGATAGGTTAATCTTTCCACAGAAAAGTTTGAATACTATTTATGAAAATTTATCAAAAAAAGAATATTTAAAAATAGAATATAAAACAAAAGGAAAAGAGAAACTTGACAAAAACATTAAATAAATTACCTTTGAAGTAATCGTTTACTACCAATTACTTTGTGATTAATGGTAGTTATATAAAACGCAATTATAGCGTAATATACGCTATAATATAACTAGAATTATTCATCCTAAACTCGCACTGCAGTCTTAACAAATTTGAATCTTAATTATAGGTATTATTGTGAAGTGCACGGCTGATCTGAAATTCAATGGAAACTAGTATAGTTGGCATAGTTGCTTGTCTCACTTTTTTATAATGTAAAAAAAATACGAGATTTCCTTGAAATTTTTCCATTGCTCTTTGTAAAAAAAAATTGCTTTTGGAAGAGAAAAATTTTATCGACACACGAAATATAACTGAAACAAGAAATAATCAACGATTATTCAATTGGAATTTAAATATTTATTTTTCATGTCAAGCATCGATTACTTACTAATTACAAGATTAAAATTCCATTTTGAAAACAGTAAATAAAAGTTATATAATATAACAGATATATACATAACGTTGTAATTATTATTAGTAAAGTTTACACGTACATCATACATGGTATTAAAATATTCTGTCATTTTGCAAACGTTCTCTAAAAACGTATACACGTAGGTATACGACGAAACATACACGAGTAAGTTCGGATACTCTTGTTATACTAACATAGCTTATATAAAATGTAACAAAATAGTAAAGTTCAGAATTTCTAATTTTTTCTGAAAGTCTTTTCATGTCGACAGCACTAATGTTCTGGTATTATCACATATTGTTGTCACTCGTCGTCACGAAGTGCGTGTTTCTCTTATCATTTGCTAATTACTTTTTCCTCGTATCTGTTTTTCCACTTTAACCAATATTCCTTAATCATGTCTGCTCCTTTTTCACCTGTAGAGGTATAAATTTATCAGTAGATTTAATCTGGCAATTATTTACGGTGAAATTATGCTTAGATCAAATATTGTAGTGCAATTATGTAATTAGGTATAGAATGTAATTACAAGAAAAATTTATCTCTTATATATGTATACAACTTAACAATTATAAATTTGCTCTTACTTAAAGATTATAAGTGCTCTTTTTGAGCCCCACATTAAATTTTTTATAATTTAAAATTATCATTTTACCAACTTCTTTCTCTCTCCCTCTATGCAAAATTACCAGATAATTTACCATAACTTATCAAGTAAATTATCATCAGATTAAATCGTATACAATATATATATATAGGTACATATAAAATAATAAAATATATATGTTTAATAATATTTAAAAAATAATATATACATATATATTATAATAATATAATTAATGTATTTTCTATCTCTAACTTGCCTATCATGATTGTTGGCGCATTCGTGTTTCCACTCACAAGGTTGGGCATGATTGACGCATCGATCACGCGCAGTCCAGTCACGCCGTAGACTCGAAGTTGCGGATCAACAACAGCTTCGGGATCCCAGTAAGGGCCCATTTTACATGTTCCAACGGGGTGATAAATCGTCACACTATAATATCTGATCATGCATTCCCAATAAGGATCAGTATACATGGATATGTGTTTGCATCCTGGAAATTGTTGCGAGTTGAGTTCGCTTCCGAATCGCTTGAAGGCATCAGTCCTACTCAGGGCCACGCTAATTTTTACTCCTTCGATCAATGTAGCGATGTCCTCCGCTTCTTTGAAGTAATTTGCATAAATGAGAGGATAATCGAATGGATTTTTACTGCGTAATTTGATTACACCGCGACTCTTTGGTCGTAGCAACATAGGAATCACGCTCCATGTGTCCTTGTCGTTGATCGGTCCAAAAACAGCGTCGTAGAACTGTTTCGTTAGTCCATGCACTTTCCTCAGTTGTCTGCCCCCATCCGAATTCGTCGAGCCGGAAACGAAATGCAGCTCAATGTCGGGAAAATCCAGCGAAACATTCGCGTATTTCGTGTTGACGAAGGCGACGCTCTCGACGCCTCCGAGCACTGTCAGGGGTCCACTGCCCATCGCAGCGTATTGCATCACTGTCTGGATGTTTTTCAATCGTTTTTCCACTATAGAAATTTTTTGATTAACCATGAACGTGAGTCCACCCAAGCCAACATGATCCTGCAAATTGCTGCCTACCTGGCGATGCGAGAATAAATTATATGAATAAATGAAAAATAGAGATTACTTGAAAATTCTACTGATTTGTAAAGTTATTTTTATGTGTTTGATGTATGACTTATCTAGTAAAGTGTATAACGATGAAGACGTGTAGACAGAGAGGAGAAAGCAAGAGAGTTTTAAAAAAAATTGCATAAAAAAATGCTTGCACTAACTTTGCTATCTTGAATCACTGGAATACCAAGATCTCGCAAATGGTCCTTCGGCCCGATTCCTGATAACATTAGTAGCTGCGCCGAATTTATCGACCCGCTGGATACAATTACTTCGTTCTTTGCGCGCACACGAAACATTTTGTCGTTCCTAACGAATTCTACTCCATAAATGTGCTTTGTTTTGGGATTTATCAGCACTTTGGTTGCGTGCGCGTGCATCACGACGTGCAGATTCTTCCTAAGTCTGGTTGGCCTAAGAAAAGCCTTTGCACTGGAGCAACGACTGCCGTGCCTAATAGTGCCCTGGGCGATCATGAAGCCGGTTTGAAACTCGCCGTTGATATCGCGATTTTCGTATCCCATCTCTTGACCAGCCTGGACAAAGGCTGCTGCTAGAGGTGTGTGCCACGGTGCCTCCTGTACCGTCAAGTATCCGTCTTTTGCGTGATACGGCGTGCGAATTAAGTAAGGATTTTGATTGTCTTCGGATTTCTTAAAATAATGCAAGATGTCACGCGAACTCCAGCCAGTATTACCTTGCTGCTCCCAAATGTCGTAATCTCGCTTGTTACCTCTTAAATAGAGCATATAGTTGAGCACGCTACTTCCACCCAAAACCTTACCTCTAGGCCAATTGCAACGGCCGTTCTCCATCGCTATAAAAATTTAATAACGTAAAAAAGAAACATAAAAATGGTGTTTGAGTGATACGACAAAGTAAGAAAGAATGATGGAGGAACAACAGAAAAGTCATATACCTAGACAAGCATCACCCTGTGCCTCAGTCTTGTATTGCCAATCTAGCTGACTCAGTTGAAGGTATCCAGCCAAAAGGGGTACATCTGAGATCTCAGGTTCATCACCGCCTGCTTCCAGCAACAATACGTTCCAATCCTCAATTTCGGATAAACGGCTGGCAACTACAGCTCCTAATGTAAAAAGAAAACGAAGGAAATGACAGAGGACAGATATTTGTATTTGTATTAGATAATGTGTTCGTATTCAAAATAACGAGAGTTTCAAACACACACGCGTACCTGCACTACCACCGCCTATCACTATAAAGTGGTACGAGGGCAATAGCATCTCTGACGGCATGTCGATTGGTGGTCCTTCATTATCTAGAGCTTCATAATGAAAATAGGCAAGTGTCGCAGCAAGAACCGGAAAGATCAATGAAAGTCCGCCAGTTGATGCTGAAGTCAAACTTTCTGTCAGAAAGCTTTCGATGCCCATTTTATTTTCTTCCTGTGTTTCTTACTGAAGAACTAAAATTTATGACATATGCGAATTAATAAATGTACTAATATTATTTTATTAAATAATTCAAAAAAATAATATAAAAAGAAAAAAAAAATTAATTAATTTTTAAGAATTTGGTTGCGATTGTTGAGGACTCTGTGAAGTCGAAACTTTTCCGTATATACCGATGTAATTATATTAATAATAAATTTATATATATTTCTAACAACTAGTATAGCTCAATTAGTTTTTGACCTGGGAGGTATATTAAGTTTAATTTAATATTATTTTATTATACGCCTTTATTTTTTTATTATTATATATCACTGAAATAATCAAGAAACACGGTAGTGTCTCGCAGCAAATATGTGCGTAACGTGTAACTGTCTTATGTAATTATACGAGTAATTACATCACTTGGCAGGAGGATACAAATTTTCGATGTTTTGCTGATCATTAAGGGATCATTTTTTATTTTTCTTTATAGAAATCGAAAATATTCATTATAATAACGCCAGACTTAAGAAAAAATTGATACATTGAAATAAAGTGAATAAAATCCTTATTCGTATTGTTATGAAATCACTGTCAGTTATGCCTCAATGATTTAGAATTTTAATTTCAAATTGGATCAAACGCGAGTAATTAGATTATATTTCTCATTATACCGTTTGTCATCTCGATACCGTTTCCGCCACTCCCAGCGTCGCGCGTCTGCTGTAAGCTGTATGCATTAGGGTTCGAATAGACGAGTAATTTTGTAGCACAAGCGACATATTCATAGACTTCATATATATGTATGTAAATATGTATATATGTAAATATGTATATATGTAAATAGGAGATATAACTTTAACACTGTCGGTCCCAAGTCCGAATAAAAAGAAGAGCATCTTGTCATTTATCATTGTTTTTTTAATAAGTGAACTTTGTCGTTACCAATTATCAATTTATCAACAATATTCCTACAAACAATAAATTGAATCTAAACATACAAAATGATTCGTGAAGAAGATTAGTTAGAAAGCAATAATTGATGTATTATGATATTTTCAAGTTTTCATATTTTTCATAAGATTATTAATTTTTTTGTAACACACACACACACACACCACATATGTCCTAATGAGAAATATAATCTAATTAACGTTTTGTAGTGCAATATTACTTGTATTTGAACCAATTTGGAATTAATTTCTAATTTTTGCGGATTTGAATGTTTATTATTTATTAGTAATAATTCTAAAAATTATTTTCAAAATCCCCATGGAAGAAAGTAAATATCTATTATCATTTGAGAACATAATTAATGTATTGGCTATCACACGATGTAATGATATAGTAAAATGACGTAACTTACTAATAATTATATGGGATACTCGGGCAGAAGGAAGCACAACACTCACATTTGAAATGGGCTTTCGTAAAAATAAACCTTTAATAATAAATGAGACGCTCTCAGAACGTGTTGTCGCTAGCTCGATCGGCGAGAATCTCTCTTCTACACGCACGTTTAAAGCCCAAGACACAATGCGAAGGAATAGCGATAGCAATAGACGTAACAATAGCGATAGCAATAGAAACAAAGGAATTCAACATACGGAAATGCATACGTCAATGCATAAATATTAAAAAAAATTTTGGTTCAACGAATGATCGTTAATTAATCTCAAACTTAATGTTTAACTTATGAAATTAATTTATTAATACAGTAACTAGATTTATTAATACAATTAAATATTTATTCTTGCAATAAATTTTGATAATAGTTTTATAATCTAAATTATAAAAATTTATTGTGAACCAATTAATTTAATAAATATTTTATTGTATTTACGTACAATTTTGATTCAGTGTGTGTAGGAATATGGAATAATAGTGATAAATTTCTGACGAGTTGGAATTCTGTATATCTATGACATATTATAGCCTACCAATCAGCGTTCAAATTTTTGATGTGAAGTACAGAAGAATCGCCGTTCTTGTCGCGATTGCCTCGCATTGTATTTAGAGGTACATTTACTCTCCGAGGAAAATTTTACTCGCAATATATATAATAGTACACGTAACTTATACTGTAGTATATAGAGTAAAATCTTCCTCGGAGAAGACGTTTTGGAATGTAGCCTAGGGCTTTAAAAAAGAGAACTTCGCTTATTCTTTCTTCTTCGCGAACCTGCGGCGTGGCGTTGACGACAGTTATCATACAATTAATTGCACTGATATTTAGCCGCACTGGGCGTAATATACCGATCCCATGCTATATGAGAATGCAAAAAATATTAAGTTCCTACAATTACGAATGTAACTCCTTCTACGAAGACAATTTTATTAAAAATTTCTTCGATTGCCACGTAGCGACATTACAAATTTTCCAAAAAGTATTTTTGTATGACATGAACGATGTTACTCATTCCCTTTTTATTCGTTTAAGAGAATTGAGGAATTTTCTAGGAAATATCTAACCGAATCAAACCAACTCGCTATGCTGTCGAAATAAAACCGATAGCTTGGCAACCATCATGTTAGAAATTGGCAAAGAGGAAGCCACGTGGTTCGGTCTAAGCAAAGACAGTGTGAAATGAATATCAATTACTCGTGAAACTTTCAAATTTATTAAGTAATTTTAAACACACCCGTGGTATTCATAATTATTTTGTGAATTCTTCGATCCTCTATTGTCAAATGATTTTATCTGTTTGACACATTTTCGTGTCAGAAATCACGATTTGACAAGTAACCAGTGATGATAGTGTATTATTTTATCGTTTTTTGATCGTATTTATGATAGCGATATTAGATAGATAAATAGATTAATGTAGACTTTATGTTATATCACAAGTTTATAAATCAAAAGTACGTTTATTTATAAAATCTGTTTTTTTTTAGTAAGCATTTTTATCAAGGAACTATTAAATAATGACACGTGTCACTTATTGTGGACTGTTGTAATATTATCAATATACTAGAAACTCAATGAAACTGAGAGGGAGAGAGAGAGAGAGAGATGAAAATTCAAAGACTGAATTATAAATAAGAATGAGAGAGAAAATCGCAGAAATGTGAAACATTGTATCAAAAATAAATGAATTAACATGAATTGAACAAATTGAAAAAGAAAGCTACATTGATCTACTTTCTGAAATACGATGGAAACTTATACACTCGAGAAATTTCCAACAGTCTAAAATATTAACATGGTTTCAAAAGTTTTAATTGTCTGATCATAATTTTGAGAAATATTTTCACATAAAATTTTTCTATGTATGTATTTTTAATTCACGTATATATATATAAAAGTTATTTATTATTTTTTATTTAACTTTTCATTAATAAAAAAAAAGATTATACAGAATATATATATACGAAAATCGCGAAAATATTATGTAATTCTCTCTCTCTCTCTTTACTATCAGAAGAAACAATCTTCTCTTTTCCAGGAGAAGCAAAATTATGTCTGACTAGTAATTCTCAAATAAAAGTCATTTTCAATTTAATGCTAACGAAGAAGTGTTTTGACTTATTCATGAATCAAGCCGTTTTACTATGTTTTTAAAGATTTTATAGAAACTATGAATGACATTTAAATATCGTTATTTTTTTATTACATTAATAACATAAAGTTTAACTGATATTTTTTAATTAACAACTCAAAACAGATTGGCTAACGCATGAATAATATTCCAACTTGCACAAGAAAATCTTATTCGTAGAACAATAAATATCAGAAAAATTTCTTTATTAAATTGTATTTTGCAAATACAGTATATTTAACTTAATTTTAGAAAAATATGAAATGTAAAATATAAAATACGAATTGTAATTATAAACAATAATTTTCTTGTCCTATCTTTGTTGAAGAAAAAGGTCGCGGGTTGTAAAATGTCGTATAAAGAATATGTTTAATATGCTTATGAAAAGTATAAAGTACTTATGAATTTAAATATCTGATAATTATTCTTTACATTTCTCTACTTATTAACAATTCTTTTTATAAAAATATAAAATCGTAATAATGGAAATATTGCAAGTTATTATAATTTTAATACGTATTTTAAATTTTTAATTACTATAAACTTTAAGACGTTATCAGAGTATTAACAAGTTTTTTTTTTAGTAAATGTAAGTAAATAGATTTCAACATATACATTTCGTATTAAATATAATGTTTATTCTTTAAGGATTGAATCAAGATAATATTATAAAAATAAAGAATGATATTTCAATAAGATTATAATATATCATACAGCAAAGTTATAATAGAAAGAACAATTGTATAATTTTAATAGAATTGTCGTGTTATCATGAGCGAAAAAATAAATAATTTACAATTAAAATTTAATTGCTCCCGCCAAGCGAGATTATCTATAAGACTTGCCTTAAATCATCCACCTGCCTTGTTTCGAATTTTATTCAGATTTTACCAAAGTCAATCTGCTTGCGTGCGTTTTCGATACGCTATAAGTTCAATTATATCAAAGTAAATGTTGTACTTGTTATCACATTTTAAACACATTTAACAAAGGATTTTAACTGATTTTTAGAAAAATGTAAGATAATTCTTCCGTTGTGTATTCGTATTAAAATATCAAAGTAAAACTTGTTCGCCGAAAAATACCGAACAAGTCGCGAATATGGAATCTGTTGACTGATAAAGAACGAAGAGATGAAACATCCCAACACGGAAAGAACAATTTTGCTGAAGTATCTAAAAATGTAGCTAGATATAGATCTGAAAATAATTTTGCTGGCAATAAAATAATATCATGTAGTACGCTCAAGATGGTTCTTAGAATGTCAAAATTTTTTTTGCAACATTACACATCATACTTGAGTATCCTACTAATTAAATATTTTGATAATCTGACAAAATTATTTTGAAAATCAAGCTAAATTTTTAAATATTTTAGCAAAATTATTCTGTCCGTGAGCGATGTTACTCGACGAAGAGCAGAATGATACTGATTGTGACCTTGTTACAGTCCCTACTCGCATGTAGCCGAGTATCTCATTGAGGATATATATTGGCTATGGTTTCCGGACTCTTCAGTCCCGTAGACTGTCATGCGGCGTATAACGGTCATCGACTCTCTCTCTCTCTCTCTCTCTCTCTCTCTCTCTCTCTCTCTCTCTCTCTACTCTCTCTTTCTCGCTCTCGCTCGCTCTCTCTGTCTTTCAATTTTTCTCCTTGTTCATCTCATGCCGATATGTTGGAGGTGATCCTCCTCATTTCTATCCTGTTGTTCGTTTACATCTTTGAGAATCGTGGCTTTAAACAAAAAACGTATACGTATATGTCATTGACTGACAAAATGCGAAAATGTAATGTAAACATAGATTTAAAAAATTAAGAAAATTGATAATTTTGGTCGAAAAAACGTCACAGTTGTCTGCTGAATTTTTTATTGCACACATATGCGTTATTTTTTTGAAGGTTACGATACCTATTCGCGATAATGTCTATAATATAATGTAAGAAGGAACTTGGCAGATATTTCACAATTATGCACAACGTAACATGTCTCGATAGATCGGAGTAATTCCGTAATAGCGATGTATAGTAAAAAATTACTCGTCCACTACGGGGACTGACCTACTTATCGTTGTAATACTAGGCGTGTGTTTAACGATCGTTCAGAATTATAAACTAATCAATGATCGTGCCAACGTGTACCCTAGAAAGTAAATCTTTTTTTAACCTGAATTTTCTCCGCTCCCCTCTTTTATAATTAATTATTATTGAGTGAAATAATTAATCATATCATATAAAGAAATTTGGACGAACATAAATATTATACGATTTCATCCATTTTATTATTCAATACTTAATATCTCTTGCGAAATCTTCGCTAATATAGTGTACGTTTTATACATACACACATTGTTAATTTCAACTAATGTATAAGGTTGATTTATTTTAATACAGACACCGATATATTTCCTTCTTTTCAACAATTGTTTGTAAAAAGTATTTATATTCTGCAAATAAAATTTGAAGATCCCGAAGCATCTTTATAATAGTAAAAGAATAAAACTCGAATATCGATGAAATCTCAACGATATTATTATTGAAAGTTATATCGCAAGTAAATTCTTTTGCAAGAATTAATTAGCAACACTATATGAATCATCTTTGCGTTTCGTAGGAGGATGTTGCGGCTCCATGAGGAAGAGGACCATCGTAGGGGGTTACGCGTTCACCTGGTGGTTCGTCACCGATGTACAACGGTTATCGCTAGAAGTGATGACGCTGAACCCGGTATGCGAGAGCGTGGAAACGGCACAGGGAGTACCGTTAACGGTTACTGGAGTGGCACAATGCAAAATCATGAAAGCCGATGAATTGTTGCACACTGCCAGTGAACAGTTTCTTGGAAAGAGTGTTCACGAGATCAAGACTACGATCCTGTCCACCTTAGAGGGTCACCTTCGAGCTATATTGGGTACGTTTTACTTTATAAAATTAAGCAAATTATGATATTCCGCGGCCGTTAGTTTTCTTGAAACAATCTCTCGATTGATATGATTAATTAGCATCTTTTCATAAACAGTTAATAGGCCACATAATTGCAATATAAAACATTTTAATAAATACAATCACAATTGTGCATGTCTTTTGACGCTCCAATTCTATATAGAGCTATCAGATTAATATTAGAATCATTAGACGTTTAATAATTAAATGTTTGTAATGTATACACTTTGAAAAAATTGCTGTGGATATATAAAACCCGTATGTGTGATGCTAAATCCACATCATATTGATGCTAATATTACCACCAACACAGTGAGAATTACGATATACAGACACTGTTATTTTTTAGTGTATACCTATAACGTAACTTATATTATGGTACGAGGAAAGTTTTCTTCAAAAAGTTTTATTCACCAAAAAATGGTTGTATGAAAAATAAATAATTTAGTCCGTCAAAAGTGGATAAAAGAATTACTCTTCTGTTGAAAAAATTTGTTGGTAAAAAAATAACGTTTTTTCTCAGGAACACTTTCCGTGGAAGAAGTCTACAAGGATCGAGATCAATTTGCAGCTCTTGTGCGAGAAGTTGCCGCGCCAGATGTTGGTCGTATGGGTATCGAGATTCTCTCGTTCACAATAAAAGATGTTTATGATGAAGTTCAATATTTAACATCGCTCGGCAAAGCCCAAACAGCGGCTGTTAAAAGAGATGCTGATGTAGGCGTCGCCGAGGCAAATCGAGATGCTGGTATTAGGGTATGTCTTGGCCTGTGTACGATATGTCGCGCCGTATAGAAAATTCGAAAGTTATGCTTATATTTTATCTATAATTATAATATTAAAAGTATGTTTTTCAATAAGCTTTAAGTGAGTTTCGAATTTAACTATAAAACGTAGCGAGAGAGAGAGAGAGAGAGAGAGAGAGAGAGAGAGAGAGAGAGAGTGTGTGTGTGTGTGTGTGTGTGTGTGTATGTGAATGGAAATAAGAATGGGAATACAAATGCAGCAAAATAACGACCTTTTTTTTTTACATTCACGCCGGAAGAGAAAATCGATTTTAATTTGTAGAAAAAGATAGTATCACTACAGGACGTTTTGTACAGTTTGCGACATATTAACGCAATCTTATAATTTTTTTGTTGTTTTTACGGTAGGAAGCGGAATGCGAAAAATCGGCGATGGATATAAAATATAATACCGACACGAAGATTGAGGACAACGCGAGACTCTACCAATTGCAGAAGGCCAATTTTGATCAAGAAGTAAATACAGCGGTAAGTTTATTCTTTGTGAAATACGCGAACGAGCGAACGATCAATATTTCCAACAAAGCCACACTCAAAGTGTTTACGTATGTATGTAGAAAGCCGAGGCCCAATTAGCTTATGAGCTTCAAGCAGCAAAGATAAAACAGCGGATACGAAACGAGGAAATACAGATAGAAGTTGTGGAAAGGCGCAAGCAAATCGAAGTCGAAGAACAAGAGGTCCGTCGAAAGGAACATGAGCTACAGAGCACAGTGCGATTACCAGCCGAAGCTGAATTTTATAAAATGGGAAGAATCGCCGAGGGAAAAAGGTAAAGTTTCACGAGACAGGAGATGTAATTTATCATTTTTGTTCAACGCAACTAATTTGAATATCATCCACTTACAGAACTCAAACTGTAAGCGCAGCAAAAGCCGAAGCTGAGAAAATTCGATTGATCGGAGAGGCCGAGGCTCACGCTCTAGAAGCTATCGGTATATCGGAGGCCGAACGCATGCGAATGAAAGCAACTGTTTATAAAAAATACGGAGAAGCGGCGATACTTAACATCACTCTGAATGCCTTGCCGAAGGTAAACGGATGCGTTATGCATTACGTTTACGTAGTATTATAGTATTAACGCATAATGACTCTTTGATTTATCTCTTTATATAGATTGCAGCCGAAGTCGCAGCACCGTTAGCGAGAACGGAAGAAATTGTACTTCTCGGCGGAAGCGACGCGACCAGTGGAGAACTTACGCGTCTTGTTGGACAAGTACCTCCAGCTGTACAAGCGCTGACTGGAGTAGATCTTTCCAAAGTATGTTCTAAAGCCAAGTACTAGAAGTTTGTTTTTTTCCTTTTTGTCTCTTAAATTCAATAGTAATAAATAAAACGGAATACGTGATAAGTGCGTGATTTAAAACAATGCTTGTTATATGTTTAAGCATCAATAGCCAGTTGGAAATTTGCAATCTGTTAATGTAACTAATTGTTTCATGTGTAGGTATTAGGAAAAATACCAGGTGCAAAGTAATGCTGAGTGATGTGAATCCAAGGACGGCGACTAGGTGAATAAATTTGAAACAGATTTAAAGAAGGGGCAAATCTATACTGCCAAAGGTTTCTCTGCTACTCTGTCACCTATCAACAACACACTCTTCGCTTTTTTCCTCTTTCCCAAATTTTACTCTACCTCAAATCCACTCGAAGAAGCGTCGCGCAGACATGCTTTTTTATCCCTTATTAGTAGATTAAAAATCCAGTCTACTTGCTCGCGTCGTATTCGCACGTTCCTTATTTTAAACACGATGTCATACGTGTGCATCGATAATGTTATATTTGATTAGTGTGATATCGATGTAATTGTGATTTGAGGGACGAGCGATTGGCGTAATCTTGAATTACAAATTGGTTACACAAAAATTACATTCACACACAACACAAAAACGCGACAATCCTCCCAAAGTTTTAATATATTTTATTGTTCCAATTATAAATATTGATTGTTTTTTTTCAAAATTTCTGAAAAGAAGCACTGCCCGTGGCCGTGCCTAAGAATAGAAATGATTAAGATTGTAATGCAAATACAACTGCTTGCTACTGGAATGCATAAAGTGACGCGACAATTACACGGTGTAAAAGATATATACCACGTATGTGTTTTTATTTAAAAGGAGTAGGGATTTCAGCAACCAATATTCAATCGTTTCCTTAGATATGAATCTTTATCATGTCACACATTTTACTGCATACAAGGAATGTATTCGCTGGCACATTGAGTAAATTAAAAAAATGATAAAATAATGACAAGAAATTGATGAAAGAAAATCACTGGTATCTGGATAAATTATACGTAAAAATCCTTATTATTATGTTACACAAAATTTATAACGAATACATCAAATGGAAAATAAGCCTAATAAATCACTGCCGAGACAAAAATCAATTCTGCTTCTTCCACAATCGTGATATTTTGTAAAATATTTTTCAACAAATTACAACAGATACTTTTGTTTTGATAACTTCTAGAAAATGTATATGTACAATCTCTTGTAATTCGTAGTAAAACTGAGGAAGGAACTATTTTAGAAATAAATATGAACGACAAAGATCAATGAAGAAACATTTTTCATATTCAATTTTCTTGATTGAAAATGAACGTCTTATGAACAAAATTGTGTCATCTACTTTATTTTACTTTTACTTACTAATATTTACGTCAATGTACACATAACCATTCCTTTTTTAATCATACAATAATTACTGTATTATAACGAATTTTTACGTTAGAAAAAGAGAAAAAATTGAGTTATTTGAGAGGAGATTCTATCAAATTTCTTAAAATCATTGTGCTATCTCAACACTCAGTTTATGCATTCCACTTGACTCGTCAGAATACAATGAACAGTCTCCAATTAATCAGTACCGCGATTCCAAGTTTTAATATAATCGATATAATTAAGAGCGTTTCGATATCATTGTGTTCAACATAATTAAGCGATTTAACAAAAGAAAAAATAAATGAAAGAATAGACGTTTGACGCGGTTCAGGACGTGCGATTTGCTGCCACCTGTAGTCGCTGTATATATTTAGAGTCACGTATGTATAATAGAGTATCGTAAAGAGTTTCTATTATCGTGAATAATACAAAAAGACGAGAAAAGTGCGTTACGTGAGCGCAATTGAAAGAAAATGCTTGATTTTACATCGACGCGCGCGATGTATATTCTCGGTTGACCACGCATCGGAATTCACAGCATTAAAGCAAAAATAATGGTATTCCAAACTGAATAAGTGCCAATTTGTACGATATCGAACCTTTAGTAGAAAAAACTGGATGATCTAAATAAAGTTCGATATTATTTTTTTACAGTAACTTATTGATTACTGTATGTGTATGTGATTTATGAATCTAATATATACTCGTATTATCTTGTTTTATCTTTTGAATATTTTTATAGAATTTTAATTATGTTTACTTGTCTTATAAATTTATCGATTTTTTTAATTATGTGTTTCAGTTTATGATTAAAGCTGACATACTTATAAATCTATGTAGAATATGAAATGTGAAATCTATACTAAAGTATATATGCTAATGTAGAACAGGCTATTTCTTATCACTTGTTATTCGTATTACTCATTATTCAAGTATATATTTACATACATTCATTACATTGAAAAAATTGTATTTTTAACCTAAGAATATTCCACTTACGTATAGTTTATTTTGTTCGAAAATAAGCACCAAAACGATCCTCTTAATTTAAGAGAGAAATTATCTTACTTAGAAATACTTACTTTAAACAACAATTTTAAATATCTCTGAAAAATACATTTTAGAGAGAATAATATTCCAGACAAAATTTGCATGGTTTTAAAGGGGACAAATAATCGTTAAATTAATTATTGCAGAATTCAATTTAGTAAGATTATATGAAGATGATCGTCATTTTTTAAATAAAATTATAATTTTTTTTGTTTAATGTGATTCCTTGATTATTCAAGAATAACACTTTCAACTTCAATATCGTTAACGTCGATCTGGTTAAACTATTCACGATCTCAATCTCGCGGATACAAACTTGTAAGCACGTGCCTACGTAACTCAGTAGCTGAAAAATTGCGTTTGTGTGAGCGTGATTCAGCGTGAATAACGAATGTTAACGAATAAGCATCATCGAAAATCGTGTGAAGCACACGTGTAAGTAGTGATAATTATCTATGCAAATCAAGAATAGCAATATTAAATAGATTTTTCAAGAATACAATTTTTTCGGTGTATGCATTTAATGATATTATTTTATTTGATGAGTAATAGCATGTTACAATTAAGAATGTAATAATGGAGGAATATTATTTATACATGTACAATATGTGTATATTTATAAATAATATTTCTTCATCAGCAGACATATATTTGCTATTATTTTTTTATTGAGGAGGAAAATCAAGAGTTAATAATTAATAAATTTCACTCGTTTTTTGCAATGCAAATTAAAATAAATAAACGGTCTATATCGAGCTAAATGAATTTAATGTTGTTCTTAAATTTTATAATATAAATGAGAACACATAAAACTAACTAAAGTGTCGTACGTTTCGGAACTCAAAGGTCTTCTTCAGCGATTCTTACAGATGTTTGTGTCGTTGGATTGATGATATTTTGATGATAGATTGATGCTGATATAACAGATTGATTTTCCTATTCTCAATGCGAGTGTATTGTCTAGAGTTAAATAAGTAGTTGTCGTCAATAAAGATAGTCAATGAGATAAAATAAATTAAAATAAATAATTAAGTTAAGAATAATACGTCAAGTTTAATAAAAATTGAATTTAATAACTTACAAAGGCATGTGAGGATCATCATTACAAATTCATCCGATCGAGTTGAACGTAGATGTTACAATGATAAAACGCAAAAGTATAATAACAGAAACTCGGAGCACTAAGGTTGACATTCATTTGTTTGTGTTGTGTGGACTCTGTTTTAATAAATAATAATAATAAAATTCATCAAGATTGTCTTTTTGTGAGTTAATACCATTGTTTTGTTTTTTAATATGTAACATTTCTGAGATTCTTTTTTTATGGTAGTTAATTCGTTTCAGTATCTAGAATTGTAACTTCTTCCCAATCAAAATAGTTATTTTAATCTGTGGTCTGAAATGACAGGTATGTCTGAAGAAATTATGCTTTGTTATTTCTATGTTCATTTACACGGGTCTTATCTTTTTATGCCTTTTCCTCTAAATCTCGTAAAATCAATTCAATTAAAATAGGGGATAAGGGGGATCCCATAGGTGTCCTAAAAATTTGTTTGTAAATTTTATTGTTAAATGAAAAAAATGTTAATGTGAAGATAAATTTTAAAATTTCAATAAGTTCATTGTATGGAATGTTTGTTTTTGTGCTAATTAGATGCCATCTTTTTTCAATGCTTTAGATTGCAAGATCTAGAGGAATGTTTGTGAACATAGAAATAACATCCAATGATAATAAAACCGAATTGCCAATCTCAATGCTATTGAGTAATCAAAAGGCTTCAAAACTGTTATGTGCCTGTCGTGGATTTGTCTACACTAAACGCGATGCCTTTGTAAGTTATTAAATTCAATTTTCATTATGCTTAACTTAATTATTCATCTATTAAATTCAATATTATTCTTAACTTAATTATTTATTTTAATTTATTTTATCTTACTGACTATCTTTATTGACGACAACTAATTATTTAACTCTAGATAATATACTCGTATTGAGAATAGAAAAATCAATCCAAACTATAATTGTTATACAGCATGTCTGTATCACATCATCATACATCATAAGAAAATATCATCAATCCAACGATACAAATATCTGTAAGAATCGCTAAAGAAGACCTGTGAGTTTCGAAACGTATGACACTTTAGTTAGTTTTATGTTCTCATTTATATTATAAAATTTAAGAACAACATTAAATTCATTTAGTTTGATATAGACCGTTTATTTATTTTAATTTGCAAAATCAAGAGTATAAAATTTATAGACCGAAAAGTCTTCCCAAAACGCTTAATGCAGTAGATCAGTACAAAAAAGAAAAGTCAAATCCTCCCTCAGAGATTAATATTAATGCTGGTGGTGATGATGATAATAATAATGATGATGATGATGATGATGATGAAAAGATAACATAACCAGTAAGGAGTATTTAGTGATTAAATAAACTTGATAATTCTAGTATCATCCAGGAGAAATTTTATCTAACACTAAGATACATTGCCGGCTCTAATAGCTGTCATAAATTAGCTAAACTCATCTTCAAACGATATCGTTTTTGAAGCGTTAAATTGAGATAAAAATTCTATAATCTCAGAAATGAAAGAAATATCATTAGATCCCAATCTATTTTTAAGGGTTTAGTGCAAACCCCTTTCTTTTCCGATGAGTAGTCAATGCGAGAAAGGACACACAACACGAATACATATACAGATTTAGAATAGTTACGAATTTTTTGACAAATCCGATGTAATCGGCTTACATAACACACTCGCGCACACACACACATACACTTATATTATAATCGAAGATAATTATCAGTCATCGTGCCAGAATCAGATTCTTGCGAGGCGTCCAATCTGTTTTTTTTTTTTTCTTCAAA